TGACCTTGAATAAGTCAAAAATCGCACCCGTGCCCATGTCCAATAGTATACCAAAAAAATCGTTACAAGTTGTACAAACGTTATCTCTGAGAAAATAAGGCGCAATTGTGCGATAGCTGAGTTGTCGCCAATTTTAAGGGCGACTCCATACAAATTTTCAGAGAAAACGTTCTAATTGCGCCAAAAACATCGATACAAGATAAAAATTACGTTATAAGCTATGCATTTACTGATACAAAGCACATTCAAGCAAAAAAAAGAGACATTTCAAACATCAGATAAAGTTGTCTATGGAGCAACTGAGTACAGCCCAATGTGCGCCGCTGGTTTGCCCCCTTATTATTACAAAAAAATATTTCACCAGTCTTTATGGGCCGCAAAGCTTGATCTGTGTTACCTGATCCTGTTTTTATTTTTAATTAAAATTCTCAATATTTTTTAATCGATTAACCAGCTGAAAGATACGCTTCTAACAAACTAAGTTCTAGTTTAAAAAATAAAACATTTCTTGTTTTAGATATAAAATTTAATGAGATAGTCTTAGTAGTTCAATACTACTTACAATCCTTACAATCAACAGTAAGCTAAGTTTCAAGTGTAGTCTTATTAAAAACTAGAAACCCAAATTTCAGTAGTAAAATAAAAATAAACATTTACTTTACAAGATTTTACAATAAAGTGATATTACTGGATTTTTGTAGAAATCTTACATCCTAATGGAAACAAACTGGTCAAACGAGGGACATTGACAGTTTCAATATGAAATGAAATAGTTAAACAATAATTCTGTTTTTGACCGACTTCTCAAAAGGATTTATGCAAGTTGTCTGTATCTATATTTTTATGTGTGATACGACACACCGGCCTTGGTGAACCGATTGTGAAATATTTTTTTTAACCTAATGGTAGTGCTTGCAGGTGGGTCCCATTTTTAGAGAGTGAGAGAGACGGCAATATCGTTAAAATACAGATATTACAATAAATTCTTAACTATTTTAACCAGCGTCACTCTTCGCCTTCTATGTAGTAGTAACTTGTGTAACCATACAGTAGCAATATCGATAGAGATGATAAATTACATATTAAAAAAAAATAAATATGTATTTGCATTACTTTAACAATTTGTTAAATTTCATGTAAAACCCGGTCTTGACGAGAAAGTTACTGATATAGGCTAAAATATTACAAGCTACTTTGTACATACGTAAGTTTTAAAGAGAAGTAAAATTTAATCCAGTTCCTCTTGGATTGCCAATGTCTTTAATATATCATGATAAGAGTCAGTCGTGCCAAATTTTTGTAAATTGACATAACAGTCCAACATGTAAAATATGCGATAGAAATATCGGATTTCGTTACTTTATCCGCCAACCTTTATCAGCCAGTGGTGGGACAGGCCCGAAATCAAGTAAATTTATTCTTAAGTATGTATATTGGGGTAATAATCATGTCTACGATATAGCCACTGACTAAAATTTAGTTTAAAAATTCTAAAAGGTTTTTTTTAGAGAACTTTAAAAGGCTTTAATAGATTTTTTTTATTATTACACTATTATTGCGTTTGCATGTCATTCATTTCACCAGTTATATACGTCAATTATAATTTTCGAAACAGACATTGCACTCAATAAAATTGATTTACAATTGTTATTTCTGTATATTATTAAATATACCTTAATCATTTTATAACTAAAAACCTTATATACTAAGCACAATTAACAGAAATGTGATAATTTACATCTGTTGTAGGCTGGATGTTGATGGCCAGTTTCCATACCTGTTGAACACATAATAATTATTAAACACATATAAATGGTACATAAAATATGATTTCGCCAACATGTAATATGCATTTTAAAATATATTAATTAAGATCAACCTTTGACTTATAAAGATACTAAATTTCACCCGCGACTCCAAAAAAAATACAAAAGTAAGTAGCCTATGTGTTCTTCCAGACTATGCTCAACATCTATGCCAAATTTCATCAAGATCCTTACAGCCGTAAGGCTATAAACTCTAACAAACATCCATACATCCATCTAAACTTTCGCGTTTATAATATTAGTAAGAAGTTATATATATCGATAATTATAAAATAATAATATAAACTATTAATTTCCAACGCTAAAATTATCGAAAATGGTCATTTTCAAACAACAAAGTATATTTCTGTATCAGCCAATAATATAGCCACATACTAAACAGAAATAAAACATCATTTGAAAATAACTGAATACAATTAGTACAAGCTTCGCAAAGCAAAAAAACAAAATAAAATAAGCTGGCTGCATAAATCAGTAATAAATAAAAAAAAAACAAATATGTACGTTTTTCCATAATAAAGCATTTATGAGTTGTTATATTAACAAAGGTTTAAAACTGGAATGCACAATACTGAAATAAATCAAACACTACACTTTATAAAAGCCAATAAAATATGTTAGAAGTGAAAATTGTAATGGTATTTGTAATAAGTAATAAATATATTAAAGATTAAAATATATAATGATGCAATTATACATCAGTCTTTTCTAACTTTAAACCCTTGTGGTTTGTTACAAATATAATGTTTGTAAGATATGAGTTTCTTACCATGATCGAGTTACTTTAGCTTTACTATTTGTATTAGTAAAAATACTTGAAAATTATATCAGTCTTTACTTCCTTATACAATTAACTATTTTGAAAAGACAATTTTTTTCTTTATTTTTCCCTTAAAAATTTGTATTTAAAAAGAACTAACTGTTCCCGTGCGACTTCATCCGCATGATATTATGAAAAATTTATTTTATTGCTTACATTTGTGAAATCATCAATTACAAATGTCAAAAAGACATGACGACAACCTTGCTTCCTTGATGTTGGCAGCAACTTATGGTCTCTTTCCCACATTAGGGTTTTTATCCAAAATATTTACCCCCTAAGTATAATGGCGTGAAAATATATAGCCTAAAGCGTCACGTTAGTGTAGGACTTTCTATTAAAAAAATTATTATTCAAAAACATGCTGTAATTGCTGACATCTTAGGCAACAAATAAGTCTGTGTTTACGCTTTATTATAGTAGCATAGAAGTATAGATATATCAAGCTTTTAAGGGTTAAATATTGTTTCAGTTTTTTTACATGGGGATGTGAACCCACCTTATCTTAATCCTCATTAGCAGCTGCTTCATCAGCTGTAGGTGTGTGCCATGTGAGCCTTTCCTCGTAAAACTGTATGACAACCTGCGGGCAGCGGATGTTGGCTTGTTTAGCAGGCACCAGGTCTGCCTCATCCGTGCCTTGCCATTTCATGAGGAACATCAGCTCGCCACTGCTGTCTGTTGCACCTGGAACCGTCAGTCATATGCTATCAGTAAACCTATTATTTTAATTCCTAACATTATTTAAATATCAAATAAACTCAAATGACTGGACCAATTTCAATAATTCTTTTACTATTAGCATCCTACATTATCATAGACTAAATTATAATTTCTGTGAGGACAAAGTCTCTAGTATATTTTTTTTTCTAACACAAGGTGGCAAACGAGCAAGCGGCCACCTGAAACCGCCAAAATGGCGAAGCGACCGCTGCCCATAGACCCATAGACATCCGCAATTGCAGATGCGTTGCCTACCCTTATCCGACAGAGGAGGAGACGCACATAAAGAGGATATTTCCCCTTCCTATGCATCTCCTCCACCGTCAAATCCACTTCCTATTCCCAACCTCTCCTCAAAAGAAAAGGGTGGTAAAGAGAAAGGGACTTAAATTAGGCCTCCGGCACCACACTCATCAGACGAAACACGGAATTGCTTCCATTTCACGCCTGTACTTTGTGTGGTCATGGTATTACACCGGGTGGGCGTTAAAACAGGCACTACCACTGTCAAAATAGTAATAGTAGTCTATACTATTATAAAGAATTGTATTTTTGTATGCAATGTCATTTTTTTGCAGCCATTAAATATGATTATTCTAATTTTGTCATTTATATTCACATTATACATTACTTTAAAATATCTAACAGGAAATTCTTATCTACTTTTATATTTATCTTACCACAGACTATTTTAAATAAGCGATAAGATCATCAGAAATAACACTAAACATAGAAACATACCTATAATTTTCTCTGGTTCTAAACCGCGGTCAAATCCGGAAGATTTCTTGTCATCAGCTTTAATTTTCTTAGCTCCCTTTAAATCTGGAGTTGCCGCTGAAGACTTACGCTTCTTCGGTTCCTTTTCCATTTTATTTGTTATCTTACCCTCTGAAAGTAAATGCAAGCGTTTTGAATAAACCTTTTTCGTATTGTATATGTTACATTTGAATAACCAATGACCAATATATCATCCAATCGACCAGCCTATTATTTATTTACAAACCAAGATACAGTCCACTACTAACAGTATGGAATTAATTAATTCAGTTGTTATTTAATTGGCTTAACTGATATAGCATGATTTGAATCAGTTCAACAGATCAGTTAACTTAGTTAAGTTAGGCCATGGCTCCAGGCGGTGAATCTCAAGATACCCAAATCAAGCCCCTATGGAGTGTTCCGATGGGTTGATTACACCAATACAATCAACCTAATAGGAAAATCTTAGTAGAATAAATAGGGTAATTGATTGATCAATCTTTGGGCCTATCAACCCAAGGGGAAATATCCCCTCTATGTAGATACAAATTGAGCGAATTAAGAGAGTTCACTGTTCTGCTTCATCCGGGCAAACTGTGAGTGATCGATTTTAGTGGTTATCTTTGACTGTCAGTAATCCATACCCATATCTTAGGATTAGCATTAGGAATATTAAGATAATCACCTGCTTCTTTCTTTTTCCTTGCTTCCTCAAATGCTTGTATAAGATCAGGACAATCTAAATTTTCTTCAGGTTCCCATGTGTTGTCCTCATCATTGTAGCCTTTCCATTTTAAATAATATTCTACCTGAAATATATATGTTTTATATGTAAGTGAATTGTTGACATTTATCTCTTCATCTCTAGAATATTGTATTACAATATACCTTTCCATTCTTAACTCTTCTGTCTAAAACCTTCTCTACAGAATATTCATCTTCCACTTCTACTTCTCCCTCTTTCTTCTTCTCTGCCATCTGCAATTATTATATAGTTAAATAGTTAACTTTTAGCACTAGTTAAAATTTTTGTTGTTGAAGATTAATCGTGTGCTTTACAAAGTTTATTTTTAGAAAAAAGTTCAATTTTAAAATAATGTAAGCATCTAAGTTAAAGTTGATTTTATTGAACTTAAGGATAGTGTATATTGACATAAGAAGAGTAAAAATATCGAATATCTCACAATTAACAAGACCTAGAATTGTGTCTTAGGATGTTTTGGTAAATTCAAAATATAGAGGAAGTGTAGATTTACCTTTTTTATGAATTACGAATAGTTTAAAAGTAATTACAAACCCTTTGTATTATAACTGTACAATAATGGTTTTGATGAAATAAAAGAAGACAAAAGCGGGGGGTGAGTACATAAATGCATACTAAAATATTATCCTACTATACACTGAACTTTTCAGTACTGTATTGCATAAAAAGGGTTTTACCCGCCATTTTGATTGTATCTATACAATTCCTAAAAGTATAGTAAATTGCCTAAACTTTTAATGTAATCCATTATAATAGTTATCGTTAGAATAGTTATTGATGACATGAATAAAGATAAGTATTTCTATTTATATTAACACGAATTACCTTCAATTAACCACACAAAACAAGAACAAAAAATCAACAAACCGGCGCGGTTGCGTTGGTCGCGAGTTGCCAGGTTTCCATGTTATGTATGGCAAAGAGTAGGTTAACCAACGCCATTCAAAGAGTAATAGTAATATGGCAATGTAATAAATGAAACTTACATCGTTATTTGTTGTAAAACATAAGAAGAAATAATGTATTAAGGGAAACCTGCAATAAAAATAAAAATAAAATAAGTTATTGTTGAATGGAGATTTTTTTACCGAAGCATAGTTCGACTCTGTCTGAAGTGTACTAAAAAGTACACGCTCTTAATCAAGTGGATAGTTTTCGAGATATAAAACAATCTAGCTCGTTGCGCCTCTGGTTACAGAAGACTAACGATAGCCTATGATGTCTTAAAATCTATTTATACCTTGCTGAAAAGTGGTTCAGATATGAGGCTGCAATGGGTTGCGGCTCATGTTGGTGTAAAGGAAAACGAGCTGGCAGATCGTACAGCTAAGCTAGCGGCTGTTAGTGACAATGTTCTGGACTTTATTCTTGATCACGTAGAATATTTATTTAAATTCAAAATTTCATGCATCAAAATAAATAAATTAATAACATGTGTCAAGAAATTGCAAAACATAAAGGCATTTGGTATAGGGTAATATAAAGTGAGCCACTTAATTATCCCTGGTCCTCGGGTGGGTTGAGCAGAAGACATGTGAGAGCAGCGCTAAGACTACATTCTGGCCTCTATCCAACAGCAAGTTTTGGGTATCTGATGATGAAAAACCTGTCCCCTAATTGCGAGATATTCAGAAAGCCAGAAGATATCCAACACTTGTTGTTGGTATGTGAGAGAAACAGACGGAAGCGCGAGTTACTTTTGCGGGACTTAAAGCTCAACCTGTCCGATGTAGGCATAATTAGTTATGTCAATATTGGCTGAGCCAGCAACAAATTATTTCTTCTTAATTTCAAGTATTCATATTAATCGTTAGTAAGTTACTGAATATAATTGATTGAATAAAGTAATTTACAGCTCTTTAGGGCTGCCACTTCGAGCAAATATTATTGTAATTGTTGATCGAAGACTACCCTGTTCCAGCTTGCATTGTAAAACGAACCGTCATTTTATATTAATTACCATTGTGTAGAAGATTACGATATGATGTCATTATTTAAAGTTATTGTAGGGTTTCAAATAAAAGTATTATATAACTTATTTGATTTTTATTATTATATTTTTTAATCTTAAGAATAGCAGTTGCTATACACAGGTCACGTTGAACTTATATACAGTAAAAACATTTTTTTTTAGTTTTTATATGGTTTTGTATAAAAATATATCAGGCAGTTAAGAAGCCGGGATCAGAGGTAGTGGGGGTTCAGTGCCAGCCGTGTCCGTGGTTCCAGGGTCCCTCTTCGGGCGCCGCGGCGGCCGCGTGGGCGGCGGCAGCGTACTGCGAAAGGTGGGCGGCGCGCGCGTGTTGCACCTCAGGGGTGTCTACGACGTACTGTCCGTCGTGGGTGAGCTGGATGTTGGCCGGAGGGCCGGTCCACTTGCCGTAACCAGCGGCGTAGCCAGCTCCGTGAGCGAGGGGTGCGGCGTAAGACAGAGGCGCGATAGCCCCCGCGTGGGCACCGTGGGCGGCGCTGGCGTGGGCAGCAGCATGTGCAGCAATGTGCGCAGCCTTCAGGTGAGCAACCTCGGGGGTGTCGACCACACGACCGTCATGGGCCAGGGGAGCGGGACCATATTTGAAGAGACCTGTTAATAAAAAATCAGTTTAGTAAAATGTAGTTTGGAATAACAGTATCGTAAGAATCAGAATTAAGACTCCTCAGGTGGCCGCTTGTTCGTTTGCCACGTTATATTATAAAAAAAGGTATTTTTAATAGGTGGCACGCTATAAATGATATCCAATGCATATCTATAAGTAAATATTTAACAACAACTGGGGTACATACCAGCACCGGGAGCACCGTAGTGAGCGCCGGCGGCGTACGCGGGAGCGCCGAGGTAGCCGGCAGCTGGGGCCCACGCGCCGTGGGAAGTGGAGGCCTGAGCGTGTGCGGCGTAGTGGGCGGCTTTAGCGTGGGCTACCTCGGGCGTGTCCAACACGTATTTGCCGTCAGGGCTCAGCTGAACGGGTGCCGGTGCACCGGCGTAGAACGATGCTTGTGCAACGCACAGAGCTGCGGCGAGGATAATCTGTGGAAAAACGATATCGTTTTATGCATTTTATAATTGTATTTACATTTTACTCATGGATTCCAGATATACATTTGCCTTAATTCATGTCAACGATAGAACACTTTTGTTCAATAGTAATAAGAAACTTTTATATGAGCAAAAAAGAATGTAATTATTGTTACATTTACCGCTGAATAATAATGAGGTGTTCGATGTAAAACATAATAAAAATAGGAAATTTTTGTAACGGTCTGGCAAATCCGATCTAATGTTTTGTAGACATCTCATCTCATCAGTTCTTTTGTTATTTATGAAGTTTACGATAAAAATTATACTGATTTTCTAAAGTTATCAATGTAACAGTAAAATAACTTAAGGTTATGTTATGTTATGTTAAAATTATAATTTTAAAAGTTTCGAAGTGATTTTTTATCATGTAACGTAATAAAAATGTAAGTTCAACATTTTTGCAAAATTTCAATTTGTCGAGTTTAAAAATGAATTCAATACAAAATAAAAGCAACACTTAGTTATAGTAAAATTACGTAAATGCCCTTAAACAAGAAACAGCGGTTTGTTACGTTTGCGAATATTAATATTATGTAACACGCAGTAGAAAACTTGATATTAAATTTCGGTTTAAAACCACGAGAATGATAGAATCAATTTCATTAAATAACACAGTTACGGTCTGTTCTCGTAGCATGAGTTTCGTGATTCAATTTCTAAAGGCATTGCACAAATATGTACAATGCATTTTTACTCCATTTTTCAGTTTTGACTGTCTATAGGAATTTGATACGTGCCAATCCTGTAGCATTTTAATACCAGCAAAAAAAAAAAACTATATATGTACATAAGACAGCAATATTTGCCAAAACTTGATCAAGATATCTATTATTTTGGACTAACTGTTGCTCGCGACTACGTCCGCGTAGAATTAAAAAAAAAAACAAAAGTGAGTAGCCTATGTGTTCTTCCAGAGTATCCCCTACATCTATACCAAATTTCATCAAAATCCGTTTTGCCGTTTAGGCTACAAACTCCAACAAATATCCATCTAAACTTTCGCATTTATAATATTAGTATGAAAGTATGATAGTAGTTTAAAAAGAATTACAATTTGTGTGTAATAGTGTAATTTTTAGTTTTGTGTAACATACATAAACAGGTAGCACGAATCCGAGCAATCAGTTAAAATAAGTGTAACGTACGACAGGTGAGCGTTGAAGTAAATAACCTGTCATTTTGTACCACAATTGATAGTTGTGTCGATCAATAGACAAAGCCTTGCAACAACAATTTAATATAGATTTGAAAAGGGACATTAGTTTGGTTGTGAAATATGTTCACAACTAAATTTACATTATAATATAATGTACAACTCGACTTAACAATTTATACACGCAATTTAGGACTCCATTTATTCATGAATTATCTATAAAAGGTGTAAATAGTATAGTTTGGATTCAACTAAGAATTTGTTGTTAATCGTATTTGGGGTGTTACTCCAAAGTATTTGCTTGTTATAGCTCACTTTTCAGACTTCACCTTTGTGCCAAATCGTTTATACTAACAAAACCTAGATTATTTAGATCGCTTTAATTTCTAAAATATCACAAACCAGTAGATTTTTCTCGCGACTCCTTCCGCGTGGAATTAAAAGTACGTCTAGATAGGTCTATTCAACCGTTCAGGAGATAGCTTCTAACACACATACATCCATCTAATAATAAATAAGAAGTAAGGTTGTTTGTCTATGGAATATCCTCACCATAGATTTTTAACTTGCTTACTTATTTTTTAATTTATTCAATAACGATAATATAGCATCTATATAGTATTTTATATCTATTACAGTAAGTTTATGACTACTTAAGTCGTAGTTAATGCTAGAAAATACACTTAAATCAATATAAAGGTTCATTGTCCACTTGGTTATGAATGCGTTAATTCTCAGATCAAAGAATAGGCACAATTCCAGGGCGTGGTTGGCATCGACTCGCCTATGGAGTTTCTTGCAAAACGTTTAGCAATAGTGAAATTATAATTCTGCGAACTGGTGCAAAACCACTTGACGGTTGCATTGCTCTTGCCCAAGAGGAAGGTGTTAGGAAGTTGTAATACGCGAAGGTCAAATGAAACAAATAAAACAATGATTGATAAATGTTAGTTTGCATAATCTGTATAGTTACGTGTAATAAATATTCTTATACTAGCTTTTGCCCGCGAGTCTTTTAAGTAAAAAAAAAACAAATTTGAGTAGCCTATGTGTTATTCCATACTATCCGCTACATCTATACTAAATTTCAACGAAATCGGTACAGCCGTTTAAGCTACAAACTCTGACAAACATCCATTTAAACTTTCGCATTTATAACATTAGTAAGATTTTATGTCGGTACGAGAAATGTAACATTTAATAAAACCTTGTCCATGTATCTCATAACATAGATTATAAGATTGCTCTATATCTATACTAATATTATAAAGAGGAACGATTCAGATTTTTGGATTTTTATATGTATTGATGTAACTCAAAAACTATTTTCCTGATTTGGAAATTCTTTCACCGTTAAAAATCTACGTTATCAGTAAGTAACATAGGCTGCTTTTTATTATTTTTAATTACACCCGGTCAAATAGCCATCAACAGCTGGTCAATACTAAAAAGCTAGCATTTTATATCTTCACGGATAAAGAATAAAATTGTCGTCATTTAAAGGTGTATTCGTATGAAACGATCTTTGTATTTGCCGATTTTCAAGTAAATCAAAACGAATAAGGTGCATATTTACATTTTTTTAACGCTCTTAAGAAGTTTCAGGCGCCATTTTGTATAAATAATAATTAGCTGATGAGTCAATTTAGCGTGTTTTCCCGCCCACTGAAACGGATTGTGATTCAAGA